AAAAAAAAAAAAAAAAAAAGCTGCCAACCATTTTCACCAAAGGCGAATGAATAAATCTGGTATGACACATTTGCCAATATCTTTCCATTGGCCTGACTAGGCACCTTCAAGGAAGCCTCTTTCCCAACCTCAGGAAGCCCAAATGGACACGAATCCTTTTACACAGCAGATAAAAGCCAAGGGGAAATCCACAGTAATGGCCACAGAATGAATGGCCGTAGCAGAGTCTCAAAGCAACAAGCCCCCTTTTCCAGCCCCTCATCGGTACCTGATAATAAACAGTGGGTCCTCTCGGATTTTGCTGGCCATGTCTAGCAGAGAATTGGCACCTGATGGGGCAAAGATAGATCCTGGGAGGAGGCCTGTCTCAGAAGAACAGCCTGCCTCCTTCTCTTCCATCTTCTCAAAAACGTATTTGTCAATGGGCCGCCCCAGCAGGTACTCATCACGATTCACCATCCCACCAGGACCCTGGTACATCCAGTCCAATTTTTCTTCTTTTTTCCTAGTTCAAGGAAAAAAATGCAATGAAACTAAATGTTGGCTGGGCCACAGTAGTTCATGCCTATTGGGAGGCCAAGGCAGGAGAAGAGTTTGAAGATAGGAGTTCAAGACTGGCCTGGGCAATATAATGAGACCCCTATGTCTAAAAATAGAAAAATTAACTGAGCATGGTGGCAGATACCTACCTATAGTCCCAGCTACTTGGGAGGCTGAGACAGGAGAATCATTTGAACCCAGGTGTCTGAGGTTAGTGAGCTATGATGATGCCACCGCACACTAGCCCAGACTACTTGTTTAAAAATATATATATACACACACACACACACACACATCCCCCATCCATAGGGCCTTATTCTCAGAGGAACACACTGTCCTCCTCCTAAATGAATCTGCAATATGTTGAAAAAGCAGGACTGAGGCCATGACACATAACAAAAAATAGGCAAGAGTCAACCATCCTCAGTCACAGTTATTTGTCAACCGTCTCCTTTGGGCTTGGCCCACACTAAGTCCTTACATATTATCTCGTTTGATCCTCAGTAAGCTTTAGGAAAGACATCTGGGTATGGGGGCTCACACCTATAATCCTAACACCCTAGGAGGTGAGGCAGGTAAATTGAGCTCAGGAGTTCAAGACCAGCCTGAGCAAGAGACCCCCATTTCTACTAAAAACAACAGAAAAAACTAGCCAGGCTTTGTGGTGGGAACCTGTAGTCCCATCTACTCAGGAGTTTGAGGCAGGAGGATTACTTGAGCCCAGGAATTAGAGGTTGCTGTGAGCTATGACCCCACAGCACTCTACCCAGGGTGACAGAATGAGACTCTGTCTCAAAAAACCAAAAACACACTTTAGGAAAGTTACAACCAAGTGTGGTGGCACATGCCTATAGTCCCAGCTATTCAGGAGGCTAAGGCAGAAGGATTGCTTGAGCCCAAGAGTTTGAGGTTGCTGTGAGCTAGGCTGACACCAAGGCACTCTAGCCTGAGCAACAGAGTAAGACTCTGTCACAAAATAAAAAAATAAAAAAAAAAGAAAGAAAAAGAGAGAGTGAGTGAGAACTTGGGTATATTGTCATTCCCTGGTTTTACTGAGGTAAACAACTCCCCCAAACTTGCTCCCAGTTACATAGCTGATACATGCAAAGTCAACCTTAGAATGCAGGTCAGTCTGACTCCAGTAGCTCCATTTAGCTACTGTATAACACCCAGATGATGCACCTGTAGGCAGTCTTGCAATTCCCTACACACTAGGACACCCCCAGCTCCCTGCTTACTTGACAGCCCCAACGTCCTCCGCATAGCGCTGCATCTCTTCCCGGGCCCTCTCCTCCCGCAGCTCCCGCTGAAGCTCCTCAATCTTCTTCCGCTCAGCCTCATGCTTCTGTTCAGCCTTCCACACTTTCTCCACATTACGGAGGGTCTGTGGGTGCCAGCTCTTCTTCAAATTCTGTGGCAAATGAAAGGACAAAGAAAATAATTGAGGGAGTGGGTAGGTGGTGAGTACCATCAGCCCTGCCTCACCCACCCCTCCATACTCAATTCATGCCAAGGCAGGCAAATAAGAAAGATGTCTTATAACAATGGCAAGGTTTGGGCAGCGCCTGTGGCTCAAAGGAGTAGGGCACTGGACCCATATACCGGAGATGGAGGGTTCAAACCCAGCCCCAGCCAAAAAGAAAAACAAACAAAAAAAACAATGGCAAGGTTTGTGTCCAGTAACCTCTCATTCATCTTCAAGTACATAAAGCTTCTTTCTGGGTTCCCTTCAAACAGTTTTAATCAGGCCGGACATGGTGGCTCACTCCTGTAATCTTAGCACTCTGGGAGGCTGAGGCAGGTGGACTGCCTGAGCTCACGGCTCGAGACCAACCTGAGCCAGAGCGAGACCCTGTCTCTAAAAATAGCCAGGCACTGTGGCAGGTGCCTGTAGTCCCAGCTACTTGGGAGGATAAGGCAAGAGAATCACTTAAACCCAAGACTTTGAGGTTGCTGTGAGCTATGACACTATGGCACTCTAACAAGGGGAACAAAGTGAGACTTTGTCTCGAAAAAAAATAAATAAAATAAACAAACAGTTGTAATCTCAAAGCCTAAATGGGAAGTGATGATAACAAGACAGGAGGAATGGGGCAGGGATATATTCTGAAAGGCAACAGAACTCGAGAAGCGTTGGCACTGGATTTTTTTGAGACAGAGCCTCAAGCTGTCGTGCTGGGTAGAGTGCCATGGCATCACATAGCAACCTCCAACTCCTGGGCTCAAGCGAGTCTCCTGCTTCCGCCTCCCAAGTAGCTGGGATTACAGGTGCCTGCCACAACGCCCAGCTATTTTTTGGTTGCAGCCATCATTGTTGTTTGGCGGGCCCGGGCTGGATTCGAACCTGCCAGCTCAGGTGTATGTGGCTGGCGCCTTAGCTGCTTGAGCCACAGGTGCATCCAAGGATTTTTTTGTTAGACAAAGTCTCACTTTGTCACCCTTGGTGGAGTGCTATGGCGTCACATCTCACAGCAACCTCAAATTCTTGGGCTCAAACAATTCTCTTGCTTCAGCCTCCCTGGTAGCTAGGACTACAGGCGCCAGCCACACACCAGCTATTTTTAGAGACTGGGTCTCACTGTTGGCAGGGCTGGTCTCAAACTCCTAAGCTCAAGCAATCCACCCACCTTGGCCTCCCAGAGTGCTAGGACTATAGGCATGAGCCACCACACCTAGCTGGACATTCCTTCTCCATCTATTTCATGTACCCTAAACTTGCATGGTTTACAACTTACCTAAAACCTCTCTCATGTTTCCCTCCCAGGAATCTCCCCAAGTTTCTAATCTCCCTCTTCACCTTCAAAGAATGCTTCTCCTCTCTCTCCTCCCCAACAGTCAGTGCTTTGATTCAGTTTCCCAGTCAGGGAAAGTTTCCCAGTGGAAGTAACATCTAAGGACAATTGTAAATTAGCCTAGTGGTGTGGGAAGGGGGGAGTAGGAGGGTGGCTTTCCAAACAGAGAGAACAGCACACATGACTGCAGTCCCAGGGATGTGAAGGAATATAGCAGGAATCATTCAGAGTGGCTACAGATAGTCCAAGCTGATGGGATGGGGCACAAGATGAAAGGAGCAAAGTAAGGGCCTTGTAAACCATATTAAGGAGTTGGATTTTATCCTGTTGATGGTCAGAAATACTCAACAATTGTACACAGGTGAGAGACAGGACTAGCTATCATGGAAAGAATGGACTGGAGAGGGCCAAGATGGGAGACCAGATAAGAAGACTAAATGAGATCATACACACAAGGTACCTGGCAGGTGGGAATGTTCACTCAGTGACAGCTCCCTTTTCTTCCTTTTCTTTCTTTTTTTTTTTTTTGAGAGTCTCATTATGCCACCCTCGGTAGAGTGCTGTGGCCTCACATAGCAACCTCAAACTCTTAGGCTTAAGTAATTCTCTTGCCTCAGCCTCCCAAGTAGCTGGGACTACAGGCA